GAGAACGATGAGAGGACTATCACTTCCAACCCAAACTGTGGATATTGGTGAGATAACTAAAATGTATCCTTATATTAATAACAAATGTACATTAATGACCCGAAATTATGATAGGACAGGATAATTGACCATTATTAGTAAATAGGAATGTAATCACAGGGCCATGGAATGGTCCTGCCTTAAGTAAAACTCTTTTGTGGTAGGTAATTCAGGGTAATCTAGGAAAACAAGATAATTTTAACATATCACAAGGATATACTTGTCATATAAGCGTTAAGGAAAGAGACGATTTGGATTTGCTTTATGAATTAGTTAAAGATCAATGGAAACTAAATAGTCTAGGTAGATAAAATGTAAATAAAAGAAGATATAAGAGCAAAGAATATTTTAGGCAAAACAATGAAAAGAGTTGGTGACTACTTTTAAACTGGATTATTATGGGGGCATGAAGACAAGGTTCTTCCAGAAAGCCGTTTCAATGCAATGCGGAGGTTACAATGTACCGATAGAAAAATGGACAAGGACAAAATTTATGAGAAGACTTACTGTGAAAAAATGGATGATTTTAAAAAGCTGACATTACTTTTTTAAAATAAAAAATATTAGAAAAAACGGTTCTTCGGCCGGGCTTTAATAAGACTTTTACAGGTTAGTATTAAAATCATAATACAATTTGGAAAATAATTATGGATGTAAGTTGTTACTAACTTCCAGTAATTCCTTACGATTTGGGGTACTGCTGGAAGGTGTATGCTCAAAAGACTCAGTATCTATATTGGTAAATGTATCTGTGTGACTAATGGAAGGGATGAGTACAATTTTTTTGACAATTTTAATTTCATTTTACACAGAATCTTCAATGTGTGTATGCTTAAAAGAATTAGTATCTATATTCCAAATTCATCTATGTAGCTAGCGAAAGGCATATCAACATGAGCATGAGCTAACACAATTACTAAAGAACGTCTTAAACAATGACCTGCGTAATATTATTTTTAGATCTTTCAAGCAAATACATGGAGATAATGCGATTCTCCATAAATATCAAGAGAAGGAGATATTTGCACAGTAAACGGAACAATTACACAACATGAACATAAAGTATTTTGCATTTTTCCTCCCCCATTTGGAGTAAATAATGAGATAGAAATAATAAGTTAAATTTGATAAATAATTTTAAGAGGAAATTTTAATTTGTGCAACTGCATTCTGGAAAAAGCTTATTTTTAAATGTTTAATTACAAGTTATTAGGGCTTGTATATATTTTTTTTATTTGTAAATTAAGTGTTTTTAACTTTTTTTATCTTAGTCAGGTATTTTCATTTTTTAATATTAGATTATTAAATAAAATTTTTACAGATTTTACGTTTTTGTTTGTCTACAATTATTGTAATTTCTGAAATGTAATAAATTAATAAAAAAGCACAATTAAACAGTTTAATAAATTATTAGGTATTGGGTCCTACAAAATGAGTTCTTGTAAGTTAACTCGTTAGGTTAGGTTTGGTTAGGTTAGGTTGGGCTTCGTTAGGTTAGGTTAGGCTACATTTTCCTTCTCATAAATGACATTTATGATTTTAAAACCACTGTTGGGTAATCCTAAATATACCTTCCGTTTACTTTCAATTATATTGAGAGTTCATTGTTTTTTAAAATCCTGCTCATTATTATTAAGTCTTTCTGAATCAGATATTTAAAGATGTTTCTTCTGATTCAGGCAAAAATTCACTGTCTTTGAAACTTTAAGAAGGTTCTGGATATTCTTGCAAAAGGGTTTTTAGGTTATACACCTTCGCACTAATAGTAAGCTCATTTTAAATTTCCCGTAGTGGACAATGTCAGAGATTGCTGCTGCATCTTGAAGATTCAGTGTATTTTTATTAAATAGAGACGAATAACACCTCTATTGGAAGCTTATTTTTCAGTCAACTTTTAGAAGACTTTTTTGTTTTCTGTTTTTCTTTTTTTGGTAGAATCAGTGAGCTGGTTCTTGTGTGGTAAATAACAAGAACTTTGAATACATTTGTGTGGTACTACTGACTTAAAATGTTAAAGTTTATCCATTATTTAAACAATTACCAGGTTTGAAAATCATCTGGTATCTTAAAAAATGGAAAAAATATCGTTACTACAATGGTAGTTAATTAAAGTCTAATAAATTATAATACAACACATTCATTTTAATGAAGATAATAGAAATAAACCTCAAAATAATGTAGCTGTTGCTTAAAGCATTTCTGTGTAATAAAAATAATTTTATTCTTTTCAAATTTTTAATATTGAATGTGAATCATTATCACATATTGGGAGAAAACGTTTTTGGGTACTAATTATATTTATAAAATAGTACAAAATTAAATAATTTATTGACTTACACAACACACAAATTCTTGATTGGCAGATGACACATACAGTGCTGTCACATTGCCATTTTTTTGTTTATTAGGTGACGTTTTTAAAACAATGAAACTTTAAATATGGCGAAAGCTTAAACATAAATAATACTTTTAAAAACATTTTATATTTTATACTTAAAAGATATTTTAGAAGTCTAAAGGTAATACGGTGGACATAAAGTAACGTATAATATTTCTCGAAAAACGTCTAACCGGTCGCGTTGTGTCGCTAGTTGCTATTGTTCGATTCCCAGTTTCGTCATAAATTTAAAATATTAATAACTCTGGCAAATGATTAGATAAAAAATAAACCAAGCTTTTATTTATAAAAACGTAGGTACTCAGTACTCTTTGCAATACTCACGGTTTGTATTAAAAAATTATGCACGAAAACAAATTTAGTACCTAGGTATTCTCAAATCAATCCCCTTTCTATTAGTTTTAGTTTTTGAAATAATATTAATTGCATTTTTCAAATATTTCCGTGCCAACTGTACCTACCCTTTTTGATTTTAACAAAAAAAAAGATATAACGGAATTTGAATACAAACTGGCATCACTGTTTATGTGTTTCTATCGTTCCGCGCTTTGACTTGATATTTGCTTACTAAGCGAACTTGAACAAAATAGTTTTGATCAAAATACTAATACTTTACGAAATTAGGTTCATGTCTTGGAAAGGTAACGGCTGAGAACTCTGAATAGGTCAGTTTTAAACGGCCGCATATACGGCAATTATCCCAATTTAGCGCGCCAATAATAAAAAAAATTGAAATTTTGAAAACATGTTTCGTCCACACACTATCGTTCTGTATACGTTCGCGCTCTTATCCGAGAACCGCGGATAAATAAGAGAGTAATATGGGTAGAAAGAGTGCGCTTTCAGTCTTGTGTGGTTGACGCATACGGTAGCATGTGAGCATTTGTTGGAAGAGTATATGCTGTTGTTTATTTGTTTTTATTTAAGAAATGTTTCAAGATGGACTGTGAAGCTTCACGCATGTATTGGTAATGTATTTTTTTTATCTATTAATAACGACAGCTTTTGTTGGACTTAATTTTATTCATTCTTTTTTGTATACGGATAATGTGTGCGAGGACTACAAAAAAGTTCCGTCAAGTTCCACTTTCGTTTTTTCTGTTAGAGTAAGATAAAACCTTTATCTTTAAGAGCATAAAAAAATGTACGTCCCCTACTGTCCTCTGTCTGATACAAGTTATTTTGTTTACAGGCAGTCGCGACATCGTTGATAAGCATTCCCCTCAATCAATAGAAATGAACTTTTTTCTGTTCTAAAAAGCAATAAATTCTTTAAAATGTCAACTATTAAGTGCATTGAAAGGGTAGAACAGTACATATTAAACAAATTTAATGAATCAGAAATTCCACGTGTTCGAAAAAACGTTTTAAATGTACTATAAAGATATTCGTGTTAAAGCTTATCAAAAAGTGAAAGGTATGCAAAAGTACACCAGCAATATTCACCAAAAAATATGCTTTATGACTAGATAGAAAGATAATAATTCCCAGATTGGACTCTAAAATCTCTGCAACACCCACAGCAGAAGAAGTAAAAAATTATCAAAAATGTGGAAGACGAAAAAAATCATTCGAGGAAAGCTGTGTACAGTTGAAGTTAAAAAAAATAGAACCTCTTGTGTCAAGCATATCCAAGGAAACACTTTGTAAAGCTACATAAATGAGTCTGTGGGGACAGAACTTCGGCGGAAGTAGTGAAATTAGCTATAAATTCTTCTCCGTGCACAAAGAAAAAAAATTAAAGAAATTCATAATTCGTCTTCTCTGTCATCCAAGTACACTCCAGAAGAAGCATTAGCTTAAATCGTGGATTGTAGTTTAAGCAAAGATGATTATATAAAAATCCAAAGAGGAGCGAAAAGGAAACAAGCAAATATATATCCCATTTATGCTGTAATTGGTCACGTTAAAAAGACATGTTATCGGGCTGTGATGGTACTAGTCTTTGGATGTTTTACGTCACCATGTATTATTAATAGCAAATAAAAATCAACTTGATTATACGAAAGTTATTTATTCTTCTTTATTCTTCGATCACTTATTTCAACGAACCTACACAATTGTTACGTCGTCGAAATAAGTGTCGAATCAAGACATTATAAAATATAATATTAAATAGTAAAATACATTCCTTAACCTAATTATATCCAAGTTCAAAGAACTATAACAACTATAAAAATTATATACAGTATGATAATATATAAAAGTACTTATATTATTACACGGCCAACATCACAACCACGGAGGCTGAGGCGCATATACCGGTTAAAGATCTGGTGGACCTAACCATCAAACGTTTAGCACAAGTACCATCGAAAGTTTTACTGAGGATTTCAGAAGATATTTAAGATATCATTGTGATGTATAAGTGGGGTTTAGATGGTAGTGGAGGACCCAGAATTTATAAGCAAAATTTCTGCAATAACGCAGTTCTAATGTGATTTTGTCTACACTAGTGCCATTAGAAATCTTATTTGAATATGAAGGTGGAAAGTTGATATTTTGGAAAAATATGAGAACATCCTTAATATCGAATTGTCGCCCAATTAAATTTGTTTTGAAAATGGAATGCGATGAATCACTGAAAGAAGAGTATGATAACATCAAATCTCAGATCGCGGCACTCAGATCGACCACAATTGTTCTAAGTAACCAAAGAGAAATTAATTTCTATCATAAGTTATTTTGCACCATGCTTGACGGTAAAACGTGTAATGTACTTACCAACACTACATATACACAGGCATGTAATGTTTGTAGGGTAACACCCAAAGATATTAACGATTTGGACAACGTCATATATAGAGAATGCGATGAATCCACATATCAAATTAGAGTATCCATTTTACATGATTTTCTGAGATGTTACGAGTATTTATTGCACATTTATTACAAACTAGAGTTACAAAAAGGGCAAGCCCAAGGACCAGAAGAAAACAGAAAATAAAAGAAAGAAATAATCAAATTACTACTAGCTTTTACCACGAAATGGGCCTAGTTGTGGACCAACCCAAACAAAGTGGTGGTAATTCAAATGACGGAAACACAGCTCGGCATTTTTTCTGCAATCTAGACAAAGTTGCTACCATCACTGGACTAGACCCAAATTTAATTGTGAGATTTGCAAATATCCTGTCAGTCTTGTCTAGTTCTCATTACATCAATATACCTACATTTAAAGAACACTGCTTGGAGACTGCCAAAATGTGCGTTTCATTATATGGGTGGTACAAAATGAGTGCTACAGTGCATAAAATATTGATTTACGGTAGTGATATTATCAGCTATTTGCCACTCCCTGTCAGACAGTTTTCTGAAGACGTACTAGAGGCAAGTCATAAAGAATATAAGGTTGTATGACTTATGGATGACATCAAGATTAGAAACAAACAGAGACATAATGAATAGAATGCTACTGTCGTCAGACTCCGTGATTACACCTTTCCGACAAATGCAAAAAAAGCGAAATAAACCCTTTTCAGAAGATGTACTGTTAGATGTCCCGACTTTTTTTAAGTAATAGTTTAGATGGGGTATACATATAGTGATATAAATCCAGATAATGGCAGTGATAATTCCGAATGAAAAACTAATTTCTGTACATTATTTGTATTTCAGTTAATTAATAAAATAATAATGTAAAGCGTTCTTAAAATGTATGTTGATTATTTTAACGTATCTAAGTACTGTTATTATAAATAATTAAAACTTGGCACCTTATTTAAATAATTAAATATGAATTTAATTTATAAACCATTTTTTTATGCATTCCTATGTGAAATGTGACACTCGTGCAGTCTATTCTACCACTTACATTGATCTTTTAACAAAATCTAAGCAAAAAAAATACTTTGGAAAATACAACCATTTTTGGCAAGCTAATTACCGCTAATTACTGTATGTGGGCCGCCTTAAGACAATTATCCCGACTCGCCTGGTAAATTCTCAAGAGGCATAAGTGTGTCTCAAAAAAGTAAAGAACGTTAAAACAAGAAGAATAGGTGCAAGCCTCTCTTGATACTATAGTATTGTTCAAGAGTATACCAATAATTACAAGATAAAGAGATTTAAACATTTAATAAGACGATTGTATTTTTTTTTGCAGCAACATTAATGTTGTTCAATAACGTTTAAAGCTAAAAGATATCGGAAGACCTGACCTGTGTGTTATGCAGCTTGTTTTGTGCATTACGCAATGAATAAATCTAAGATGAATCGTTACAATTTCATGTTAAATCCTATTGATTGTGTCTAGCACATGATATGAAACAGTGAAGAATGTATTTTAACTGCCTTTCTTTCACTTGTATTTTTTTAAACGTGCCACCAGAAACTGATAAGAACAGACATTAGATACGCCTTTGCCTCTTTGATTTTGCGTATCCTTGAATTTATGCTTGGTATCAAAAAACCTGACCTGCATATTTGCCGTTTTGATTTTACGAGTCGGTAGTAATTGTGCCGACCTAAGGGAAGCAAGTGTCAATACTTTAATTTTCTCTTCTAAATTATCACAGTTAAAGGCTGTTTAAAATCAGTTTATTTTGGGTTTAGTGTGTTTAAAAATTGATCAAAAATTTGAATATTGTTTACATTATAATATACAATAAAATGGAAACCGACGAAAAATCCTTGTTCAACTTGCCAACTAAGAAAACCCTTTTAGCAATATAAAAATTTATTTTGAAAAGATTTTCTTATCCCAGTGAAAGTTTCTCCCATCACTGCTGGCGAATCTGGTAAGTTATTTTAAGCAATATAAATTATAAAAATATATAATGGCTAGTTTTAAAAAATGTTTGGATATCATTAGTATTTTATTCCTTTTTATGTCGCTTTATTTATTTTATAAGAATATCTGTATGTATATTAAAATTTGATTTCTTGAAATTCATTGTAATTGACATAGTAGGTACCTAGGACGTTCCTACCTGAGAATTATTTAAAATTAATTTTCAATTTTTTTAATGATTTATGGTTTTCAAAATGCAGCTTATTTACAAAACACTTTTTTATGAACATGACCCCAACTATGAATCAAAAATCCTTTATTGCGTTTGAAGCTGTTCGACAAAAAACTTAATTAAAAGACTGTTGATGGTAATAAGGTAGGTAAATAAAATGTATAAATTAGTGTCAGCTTAAATAATCGTCTAAAAAAATAAAAACTCAATTATATTAATCCTCATTCATATTTCTTTTTAGGTCAAATGGAACAAGATTGTTTCATGTCGCTTTGAAAAAGGTTCAGAGAATCAATTAAAATTTAAATGATGATGAATATTATTATACCATTGTCAAACTGGGGAAAATAGCAACCGATATTATTATTTCCTTTATTTAGCTACTTTTCTAATATCACAATATAAAAATTTAGTAAAAATATACATATAAGTCAAAACATAGATAATTTAGATACAATTAAAACTAACTAAAATTCTATAGGTTGTTACTGTTTCTGGAGAAATATTCATTATTTAAGAAATATGTCACTTTGACTTTAAATGTACTTACAGACGTTACTAATTTAATTTTCTCTGGAAGTGCGGTATATTGATTTAGACCTTTAAAAAATAGTGAATTTTGTGTTGCACTCTTAACAACTGTTTCAATATAAAAGTTATTTCTGTTCCGCGTTGAATAATTGTGCATATTAGAGTGGTAATTAAGCTAATATTCTCTCTTAGGCACATTGAAAGTAACCCGGGTTTAATTTTATAAATAAAAATTAACGCATTCCGTAATAAGAGACTTTTGATTGGCATCCACCTCAAAGTTTCAAGCATTAGATTAATGGAAGTATATTTTGAACAGGATAATATTATTCTTGAAAGAGTAAAACCAAATTTGGTAGATTTTCACACTTGTATTTTAAAAATATAAATTTTTTTAAAAAAACACTAACATGACATATGTTTCGAAGTACAACTTCTTTTTCAAATGTGACTATTTTAAATTCGGTATCCAATATATATATACGAAATAATTTAACAAAACAAAGTACTTAAGAAAAACATCAATAACATTACAAAATAACTATTTAAAGTAAATTAGGGTACTTAGGTAATTATAATATCAATCAGATAACAATAAGGTAGCACATTACCGGGATTATCTCACAGAAAACTAGGAAAGAGATTTAATAAGGGTGAATTATTAATATCTAATTGATCATTTAGTAAGTTATCTGAATTTTTAAATCTATTTATTTCAAGTGTTTCTAAATGGTTTAATTTAAGGCTCTTATTTTCTATATGTAAAATTTCAAAGTTGTCTGTAAAAGAATGATTTTCAGCTAAAATATGATTTGAGTAAGTAGAGTTATTTTTGTTTTTTGTATAGCTATTATATTAAATTAAATTGTGGTAGTTGTCCAAAATTGTATATTGGTCAAACAGGCCGTACTTTTAAAAAATGCTATTCTGAACATTATAATAGCTATACAAAAAACAAAAATAATTCTACTTACTCAAATCATATTTTAGCTGAAAATCATTCTTTTACAGACAACTTTGAAATTTTACATATAGAAAATAAGAGCCTTAAATTAAACCATTTAGAAACACTTGAAATAAATAGATTTAAAAATTCAGATAACTTACTAAATGATCAATTAGATATTAATAATTCACCCTTATTAAATCTCTTTCCTAGTTTTCTGTGAGATAATCCCGGTAATGTGCTACCTTATTGTTATCTGATTGATATTATAATTACCTAAGTACCCTAGTTTACTTTAAATAGTTATTTTGTAATGTTATTGATGTTTTTCTTAAGTACTTTGTTTTGTTAAATTATTTCGTATATATATTGGATACCGAATTTAAAATAGTCACATTTGAAAAAGAAGTTGTACTTCGAAACATATGTCATGTTAGTGTTTTTTCAAAAATTTTTATATTTTTAAAATAAAAGTGTGAAAATCTACCAAATTTGGTTTTACTCTTTCAAGATTAAATGGATTTTCATCAAGTAAAGGCTGAAACAATAAATAGGATAATATTATTCGCATAGCCCTATTCTGCACCTTCTGTAGTCGGCTCAACTCATTTGGTTTAGTAAAAAAAATATTGTAGAGCAATAATTAAAATGAGGTAGAATTATAGTATTATATATAATACATTTAGTTCACTATAATAAGCCAAATGAACTTCTAAATAGGAAATTTAACTTAAGTGCAATAGTTTTGATAACAATGTTGGCATGATCTATGAATCTCATCTGCTTGTCAATCATTACCACTGAGTATTTGAATTTTTCTACTAACTGTATAGAATTTCCTGCAATTGTTATGTGATATTGTTTATCAACAAACTGTGTATAGGTATAGTTGCTACTTTTCAGCATACATTTTGTTTTATTTGTATTAATTTTTAACAAATGATTGCAACGCCATTTATAAACATGTTGAAGAGTTTCATTAACAACTCTTACCAAGTTATCTGAATCCTTCCAAGAAAAATATATTAGGGAATCATCAGTAAACAGGTGAATAACACATTGACCCTTGAAATCAACAATGGCATTGATATACACTAAAAACAACAGGGGACCCATTATACTTCCCTGCGGAACACCTCTGATATAGTTCATTTCCTCTAACAAAATGTTATTTACTTTTAACTTTTGTTTCCTTTTACTTAGATAATTCACACACCACTCCAATGCTTGCTACTATACCCATACTTTTACATTTTTTTATCAAACGGTTTTGATCAACAGTCTCAAATGCATTTTAAAGATCTATAAAAACTGCCAATGTTAGATAGTTTTTATAAAATTTATATTTCCATTCATATAAAACACACTGGATAGCTGATTCACAGTTATGTTTGTTTCTGAAGCCTGATTGTATTCTAGTTATAAGTTTATTTTCTAAAAAATTAACAACTTGTTCATGAACGACCTTCTCAATGATTATTTCGATACAACTTAACATACTAATAG